TTATTTATTCTGTCAAATGTAGAACTTTCCCTTGAAAAAGTGCTAACACGGTGGAGTTTAAAAGAATTTAACCAAAGCTTGTGGAACTTCTATTCCTACGGCCTATTACCAACCACCAATAAGCCTCTTAGTTAAGGGGGAAAAAGATGGTTTAATTACTCCATGACCAGAAGATTCAGGGTTAGCATTATTTACTCACATAATGAAGATTTAAGGCTAAATTCTAATGTCTTAGAGAGGGGGACCTTGGCATTTACAGCACTCTCTGGCCCACAAAGCTGTGATAAAGGGGCCACCAAACACATATTATGAAATACATTTAGAGAAATTGCTAAATTCTAATGTCTTAGAGAGGGGGACCTTGACATTTATAGCACTCCCTGGCCCACAAAACTGTGATAAAGGGGCCACCAAACACATTATGAAATACATTTAGAGAAGCAGTATTTTATGGAGATTAACACGAATGGGGGCTTTTACCTAAATTTATTCTTCTGTTCCTTCCAATAGGAGATGGGGAACTCTCTGGAATGGTTCCGGGTAAGCTTTCCAACTGGACCTGTTTTTCCAGGCCTTCAGGGCCTCCCACAGTGTCCTTGTGCAGGGCAGCCTCAAGCTGGGGTCTGCCGTTCTCCCCAGAATGAGCCACATTCACATCAGCCTAGGAAAAGGGGAAAAAGGAATCGTTTTGTGAGAGTCAAGATTTCTTAGAAAATGGTTTCTTGGAAAATAAAACAATGTAGCAAGACTTGATTTGTGGATGTTTAGCTAACTAGAATTGTGGTAGGCTGAGGAGTACCCAGCGCCCTGCAGATGCTACCTTTAATGGCAGAAGGGCCTTTGCGGATATGATCAAATTAGACCTTGGGATGGCAAGATTATCCTGGATTGTCCAGGTGGACTCAAAATATAATCACCAGGTCCTTATAAGAGGAAGGCAGAGGGAAATCTGACTATGGAGTAGAGGTGATGTGACGACGGAAGCAGAGAACACTTTACAAGGTGCTGTAGGCCCCATGAGGAACTGTATTTAAAGGGCCAGAAGGTTGAGAACCACTGGGGTGGACTCAAAATATAATCACCAGGTTTTTATCAGAGGAAGGCAGAGGGAGATCTGACTATGGAGGAGAGGTGATGTGACGACGGAAACAGAGAACACTTTACAAGGTGCTGTAGGCCAGGCAATGAGGATGGGAAGGGCCACTAGGCAGGGGATGTGGGGGTGCAGCCCTAGACGCTGGAAGAAGCAGGGAAAGTTCCCTCCTCAGAGCCTCTGAAAGAAACCAGCCCTGCTAACCTCCTGACTTCAGCAAGTGGAACTGATTTTGTGCTTCTCACCTCCGGTACTGTGAACATAAAAATATTGTCTTAAGCCACTAGATGTATGTTCATTTGTTATATCAGTAACAGACAACTGATATACAGTCGACCCTTGAATAACACTGGTTTGAACTGTGTGCATCCACTTATACACAGGATTCTTTTTCAATAAATATAGTCAGCCCTCTCTGCATCTGCAGGTTTCGCATTCGTGGATTCAACCAACTATGGATCGAAAACAGTATTTTCAGCACTCCGCTGGGATGAGCAGATTCAGAGTCGGCTCTATGTGTTGTTCTGCATCATTTTATAAAGGGACTTGAGCATCCTCAGATTTTAATATGGGGGTGGGGGAATTGTCCTAGAACCAATCTCTCACGTATAACAAGGGATGACTGTAATTAAGTTTTGGGGGAACTAAAAATTATACATGGATTTTCCACAGCAGGGGCATTGATGGAATCCCCTGATCCCCTGTGCTGTTCGAGGGGCAACTGTAATATCTAATATGAATCTGTCAGGTACAAGCTGTTATGCTGGGCATTCTGAAAGATACAAAAGTAACAAGTTCATAAGCATCAAATGTGAAAAGTAAAGATGCTGCTGTGTAAAACACACACATACACACACACACAAAAAAAACCTAGCTTCATTGTTTTTGCTGATTAAAAAAGTATTACAGCCCTGGCCAGGCAGTTGGTTGTAGCATCGTCCTGATACATCAAGGTCATGGGTTCCATCCTTGGTCAGGGCACATACAAGAATCAATGAATGCAAAAATAAGTGGAGCAACAAATGTCTCTCTTCCTCTCTCTTTCTCTAAAATCAATCAGTAAGATCAGTGGTTCCCAACCGTGGCTGCACATTAGAATCACCTGGGAATCTTTTTAAAATCCTGATTTCTGGGCCTCATCCTCCAGAAATTCTGTTTCTTTGTTACTAATGTTGTGGCCCCACCCCATAACAAAGAAACAGAATTTCCATTTCTGGGCGCCATCCTCCAGAAATTCTGTTTGTTACTAATGTTGTGGCCCCACCCCTTAACAAAGAAACAGAATTCCCGGAGGATGAGGCCCAGAAATCAGGATTTTAAAAATATTCCCAGGTGATTCTAATGTGCAGCCAAGATTGAGAACCACTGAATAAGATTTAAAAAATAAAAATAAAAAGGTAATAGAGTCATAAGAGAAATTGATAACATTTAATGGCAGAGAGTAATCATTTATCTGATTGCGTTGTAGTACATTATGTAACTACTAGAGGCCCGGTGCACAGATTCGTGCATGGGTGGGGTCCCTCAGCCTGGCCTGTGCCTTCTCACAATCTGGGACCCCTGTGGGGGCGGGGGATGCCAGGCTGCCAGGTTTCCGCCTGATCCCCACAGGCTAGGCCTCAGGCCAAAACCCGGCAGTTCGAGATCTCCCTGAGGGATGTAGCAGTGCCCAAGTGGCAGGCGGCTGGGAAGGAGCCCCAGCTGAGGCCAGGCACAGCTCCGCTACGGCTCATACAGCCCCGCTGCACCTGCCACTGGTGTCACCGCTCGGTAGCACTGCCACGGAGGCGGGAAAGGCTCCTGTCACCACAGCTGGCCCCACCCCATAACAAAGAAACAGAATTAATTGAGCATTTCCCTTATTTTTCTTCGTTGACTGTAGAACTATGAAACACTCGACACTGTGGTAGGAAGAATTCCGGAGGATGATGCCCAGAAATCAGGATTTTAAAAAGATTCCCAGGTTATTCTAATGTGCAGCCAAGGTTGAGAACCAGTGCATTAGTCCGAGGCTTGACGTGTCATAGTGACCGGTTGACTGGTTGTTCCAGTTGTTTGGTCGTAACAGTCACTTAGGCTTTTATATATCTAGATATCACAATGTACTTAACCAAATCCTACTGAAGGACACTTAAGTTGTTTCTAACTTATCCATATAACAAACAGTGCTGGCATATCTGTGCATATGTATCAGCCTGAATTCACCCAATCATCCCACAAGGATAAACTCCTAGATGTGGACATGCCGGGTCAAATGATAGGCACATTTTATATCAATAGATGTTTCCAGAGGGCCCTCCATAAACCCAGTGCTGACTTAAAGTACCACCTTCTCCTTTTAAGGATGCCTATTTCTTCCTACCACAGTTCCCCTGCTTGTAAATAGGTCAAAGCACAGTGTGCAAAGGGGCTAAATGTGGCTTAGTACACCACTGATTCCCAAGTGCTGGCTGGTGTCAAGTGTTTCATAGTTTTACAGTCAATGAAGAAAAATAAGGGAAATGCTCAATTAATTCAATTTGAAGAATTGGAATTTATTTTTAGAAGAGGCATATCTTAAATACTAAATCTGTTCAGGAAAACGCTTCTCATATTTCCTCTAACACCATGACCCCCTCTCTCCCAGTGCTGGCTCTTCTTGCATTGCTTGATTTGCAACTTTCCCACTTCTCATCCAATAGAACCTTTTAGATGTTATCAGCCAACCTATTCTCTCATCTAAGACACACACTGAAGAGAGGAAGTCTCTTCATTATCTTAAGGAGAAATAAGAATATAAACATCTTCTACAGAATATTGTCTTCCGGTTATTCTTCTTTATGTCTATGATTTCACTTTTGACCCAAGGGCTGTTCTTCCCTCCACTCCCCCAACCCCCCAACCAAGTCTTCAAAGGGCCTCAGGACTCCGCCCTCCAACCCCTGCCCTCTGTAGCGAGCCCTATAATACTGACAGAAGTCTGTACCTGTTCAGGTGCAGCTGAAGGTGTTAACGAGGAGAATGCTTGAATTGGGTCTTAATGAATGAATTTCTAGTGAGCAAAGAGGAAAGGACATTTTAGACAGAAGGAAAAGCACAGAAAGACAGGGCATGAAACAATATTGTGTGTCCACTATAGCAGAAACAGACTGAAATAGAAAGTGGTAGGTGCTGAAGTGCGGAAGGGAAATCTTTTGTGACAAATAAAGGAGTTTGATTTCATTTTGAGTGCAAGCGTAATCCCTTGCAGGGCTGTCAGATATGACAGTAAAGTAAATGACCACTTGTATTTTTCAGAAAGACCACTCTTGAGTTAGTGCAATGGCAAGAATTGAAGGATGAAGGAAACAAAACAGGGAAGCCAGAACAGTTATTACTAGCCAGGTGAGGATTGATTAAATACCAGCTACGACAGCAACAGTAAAAACGGGGACAACCGGTGGGCCCAGAAATATTAGGAAGGTAGGTGACAGATCTCCATGGGCTTCAGTGTCAATGAGGGAGGTCCCTTCTGGCTCTAAATGAAGATTCTAGGAACTAAACAGAAGGCATTCCTCTTTAAAACAGGAAAAGTAAATAAAAAGCAAGGACACTGGCATGAAACTTGCTATTTCTACAATAAAAACCAGACAACATTTTTTAAACCTATGGACATTTGACCCCTTTCTAGAAGTACTCCAACATCCAAAGCCCCTCAGAGGCGACGTAGGAATCACTAGGTTCTGGTGGCCCCACCACCCTCAGGTCCTCACAGTTCAGTGAGGGGTTCTCCCTGTTGGTAGGGAGACTCACAGCTCCTACCACCCTGTTTACATAACATGATCACTCCAGCTAAGCCAACATCAGCTTGTCGTGTTGAGGATTAATGAGTTCTGTGGCTCAGAACTGCATGGGAAGGTAGGAAAAATCAACCAACTGAACAAACCAAGTAAGCAAACAAAAGCTCTATGGATATGAAATATGAATCGGCACAAGGAGAAAGCCGGAGAGCAGCTATGTACTTTTTCTCTCTCTGTCTGTCTTTCCTTACAGACACAGTTACTACCATGCAGTCCCTGTAGAGTAAGGCCACTCAGGAAAAGTCTTTACAGATAACGTATTATATGTTATTATATTACTAGGGGCCTGGTGCACAAAATTCGTGCACTGGAGGGGGCGCCTTCAGCCTGGCCTGCACTCTCTCGCAGTCTGGGGGCCCTTGGTGATGTCCACTAATAGCTTAGGCCCGCTCCCAGTTGGACATCCTTAGCGCTGCTGTGGAGGCAGGAGAGGCTCCGACCACTGCTGCTGCGCTTGCTAGCCGTGAGCCCAGCTTCTGGCTGAGTGGTGCTCCCCCTGTGGGAGTGCACTGATCATCCAAATGTGTGCACACGCGTGTGTGTACACAGTGTAGGGCAAAAGTAGGTTTACAATTGTGAGTACATGAAACAGTTTATTCTTGCATGAAATTCAAGCAAGAGTAGGCCTTCCTTCCCCCAGCTGCTGGCACCAGCTTCCCTCTGGCACCCAGGACCCAGGCTTCCCTCACAGTGTTGGCTTCATCCAAAAGGACATCTGGTCTAATTAGCATATTATGCTTTTATTATTAT